ATAACAAATGGGTAAACACTATGTAAACTGTTTTCCAAAGTTCTGTGAGCCATTCTAGCATACTAACTGAACCCAAGGAGGGGGATCATGCAAACCCCAATCTATAGCTGTTCAGTCAGCAGTACAGGTGATAAACTGGGACTTGGCGACTGGCGTCTGAAGTGGGGAGGGGAAAAGACTTGTGGGACTGAGCCCTTAACGTGTGGAATCTGACACTAACTCCAGGTAGATAGCATCAGAATTGAATTGAATTATAGGACACCCAGCTGGTGTTGCAGAGAATTGCTTGGTGTGGGGGGAAATACCCACACATCTGTTGTCAGAAATATTCTGAGTGTGGTAATAGTGTGAATAGCAAAGGAGAATCACATAGGAGAAGTGAGTCTTTTCCTACTCACCAGGACATACACTTAGGGCATGGTCATCTATATATCCTAGTGTTTAGGAAAGCAAAAGTTTTTAAAAGCTAAACTTGGAAATGACCCAAATGTTCATGAACTGCTGAATGGGTAAGCAAATTGTATGTCCATACACAGAAAACTACTTGGCATTAAAAAGAAATAAACTTCATGACAGAAAAAACAGGAAGAATGCATTTCAAAAGCATTAGGCTAAGTGAAAGAAGCCAGACACAAGACTACATACTACACGACTCCTAACTAATGAAAATCTAGAAAAGGCAAAACTATACTGAAAAGAAAGCAGATTAGTGGTTGCCTGTGGCTGAGAAAAGAGATTGACTAAAAGTAGGGCACAGGGGTACTTTTTAGGGTGATCAAGATGTTGTATTACATGATTATTGTGATGGTTACATAATTGTATTCGTTGAAATTCATCAAATTGTAAACTTACACTTAGAAATAGGGCTTCCCTGGTGGTGCAGTGGTTGAGAGTCCGCCTGCTGATGCAGGGGACACGGGTTCGTGCCCCAGTCCAGGAAGATCCCACAAGCCACGGAGCGGCTAGGCCCGGGAGCCATGGCTGCTGGGCCTGCGCGTCCAGAGCCTGTGCTCCGCAACGGGAGAAGCCAGAACAGTGAGAGTCCCGCGTACCGCAAAAAAAAAAAAATAAAATAAAAAAAAAGAAAAAAAAGAAATACCTACAATCCTGTATCCTGAGGATCTAAAAAGCAAGAAACTCAAGAAAATTGGACAGTACCTACTTAAAAAAATTCTGATCCCCCTCCAAAATCACTACTGATAAGAAAAACATCAGGAGGTACCTAAAGAAAAGTGAATTACTACGGCCTCAGCTTTCCTATAATTCAAAGGATAAAAGGGCAAGCATAGAATAAAAAAGGACATACAATAAAAGATGACTGCAAGAAGGAAATCAAAAAAGTAATGGTAATTAGCATTTAAAATTACACTGTCAACCAGATCCAATTAACATCAAATAATGAATCTGTGTTAACATGAGGCAAAACTTCTAATGGTATCCTACAAAGTTCTGTTTGGCCCTATTCTGTTCAATATTTATCCAAATTAAAAATAAAGATATAGAAAGAATGCTTATTTAATCTATATATGATATAAATGAAAATAAAGGTTCTAAAAGGATCAATACACTAAAAGATGAGCTGTATCTCACAGGGTAAATTTCATAAGAATAGACATTAGGCTCAAAAGAATCAAGTGCAAAGAGAAGGAAATCTGAGCCTAAAAGCCCTTCATATAATAATAGCCAAGTAGCACTTAATACATTGTTCAAAAGAACTTACGTTTATTCATTCAATAAGCTATCTACTGAACACCTACTTCATGCCACTCACTAAGCATCGCAGATATAACAGTGAAGAAAACAGATGTGAAGCGTGCATCATACTAGTGGAAGACAGACAAAATCCAAAATGAATAACTAATATAGTAAATGAAATGGATAAAAATGAATTATCCTAATTATTTATTAGGAGAAAAGTTGACAGGGATCCTGTGCACATGTATGATTATTAAATAGGATGGTCATCAAAGGCCTCACTGTGAAGGCAACTTTTGAGCAGAGACTTCAAATAGGTGAACTAATGAATCCTTACAGACATCTGCAGGAAAATTGTTCCAGGCAGTACGTGCAAACTTGAGGTCAAGTGTGTCTACCATGAGCAATATGAAGAAGGCTGGTGTGGCTGGAACCTTCTGTGGAGAGTAAAACAGATAAAGGAAACACTCAAAAAAGCAGCAGGGTGGGAATTCCCTGGCAGTCCAATGGTGAGGACTCCAGGCTTCCACTGCAGGGGGCACAGGCTCAGTCCCTGGTCAGGGAACAAAGATCCTGTGTGCCAAGCAGTGTGGCCAAAAAAGAGAAAAAAAGAAAAGAAAAGCTACAGGGTGGGAAAGGTAAATAGAGTGAAGGGCCTTGCATGCCATCAAGAGGACTCTGGCTTTTACTATGAGTGGCACGGGAAGCCGCTGGTGTTTTGAGCAGAGGTGTGGTATGATTTGACTTAGGTTTTTAAATGATTATTCTGATCACTTCTAGATACATTTAGGAGGTAAAGCCACTTTATTTGCTGATGTATTAAGAGAGGACAAAAGGATAATTTCAAGATTTCTAACTTGAGCAAAGAAATAGGAAGTGTTTCCATTAACTGAGAGACAAGATGATGACTACAGGAAGAGCAAGTTTAGGGACAAAGATCCAGAGACTTTAGGTTTGAGATATCTATTAAATGTCCGAAAGGAAATAAGTGCATGTAACTGGCAAGTCTAAAGTTCCAGGAATAGGCTAGAAAACAAATGTTGAAGGTCGTCAGAGTATAGGTAGCATGTAACGCCACAAGACTGAAAGAGATGACAAAGGGAGTAAAGGTAGTCAGAGGAAAAGTCCAAGAACTGAGCGCTACAGAACTCCCCAATAATTAAAAAGGTCATCAGAAAGATAAGAAGGGAGGGTAACTCATTGGGTATTCACATATTTAATCCTCATTGATATCCTATACATCATTATTCCCATTTTGTAGCTGAGCTGGCTGCAACACAGAGAGATTTAACAATTGGCCAGATATTTCATAGCTAAAAAGTGCAGAATCAGGGTTTAAAACTAGGCGATCTGGCCTCAGAGCCTTTGATGCATTATTATTCTCTATTTCTTCTCTAAAAGCCCTGGGTTTTTAGAGGACTTCATACTCTGCATAAATCAACAGTATATCACTGTCCAAAAAGCTAATGGAATCTCAGGCTACTTAAAGAAATGGATGATGTCAAAATGAAAGGAGGTATCAGTCTAACTATATTTAGCACTTTATAGATTTCAGCTGAAGATCTGTGCTATATTCTGACTTGCACACTTTAAAAATATTTAGTAGGTGTTCAATGACAGTTAGTTATCATTATCATCATTATTATGGATGCACACAGTAGCTGGTCCACAAAACCCTGGAAGTCACTGTCAGCAATGCCATGCTGATTTCCCAAACCGAGCAAAAGAGCATCAACTGAGTACAGTAAATTCCTCCTCTTAAATCGAAATACTAGTTTTGATTAGCAGTCAACTAGACCAGTCAATTATTTGGAGGGCAAGAGAAAAAACTACATATACCTTCATCATCATCTGACTCAGGGCACAACGTTTGTAAACATATTTTTTTAAAGCATTAATTTCAAAAACAATAATTGTTTAATAAACTAATTATTTCACGGTTTAAGAAACACATTCAGCTATATTTTAGCTTTACTTGTCTATACCAGCACTACCCAAGAGAACTCTGTGATGAAGGGAATGTTCCGTGGAAATGCTCTGTAACTGCACTGTCCAGTACAGCACACAAAAACCTTAGGGGCCGCTGAGCATTTGAAATGCAGGTAGTGCGACGGAGAAACTGGATTTTTAATTCTATTTAGTTTTAATTAAATAGCCTCATATAACTAATGGCTACCCTATTAGACAAAGCAGTTCTAGATTAAGATCTAGATTAAGGCCCAGCTTTCCAGGACAACATAGCCATGTATATTTGCCTGCAGCCGCAAGATTAATAATAAAGATAAAATCACACACAAAAAAGTACAGAATTTAGGTGAGCATCAAAATATTGACATGCTTAGCGATTCCTGTCCCTTTTCTTCCACCCATTCTCCCCTTCTTAGGGTTACTGAGAGCGTCACACCCTAGTACTAGTATTTTGTCTGTTTACTTTTTAATAACTGCCAGCACGCTAATTTAAAAGCCCTCTCTCCGCCTCCTGCCCCCTCCCCCACCGATCCTCTGAGAAACCAAGTTACAGAATAAATACACATTTTCTCGTTTCTAGGTCTTCAATTCCACCCCCTCGAAACCTGGACTGACGGCTGGCTCTTTCGAAGTCGTAGCCCTCCAAGGACACCTCCTGTCTAGGGCTCTATGAGGAGGGGGTCAGGGCGTGGAAGGGGCGGTTCTGGATTTCGTGGAGCCACCCCGTTTAGCGCCATGTGTGAGTGTGTTCAGGCGAGGCAAGGAACCGGGCCCCAGCTACGAGGGAGGAATCTAGAGAATTCGCATATGTACAAGAAGAAGGAGCAGGTGCCCAGGCAGGCCGCAGGTTACCTGCACATCCCCGGGGAAATAGAGTACGTGATGCTGGGGCGGTGGTTGCGGCTCCTCCTTCGCCAGGTCCCCAGGGAGGTCCCGCCGTTCCAGTCCCTCCCCAGCGGCCGCCACCGCCGCCGCCGCCAGCAGGACCAACTCGTTGCCTCGCTGCGGGTCGGCTCCCGGCACCGCGGACAGCTGCACGCACTGCTGCCTGCACCGCTCGGCTGACGGGGAGCCGAGAGCGCCGCTGCGGCTGCTGCTGCCGCCCAGGTTCATGGTTCCGGCCTGAGAGCTGAACGCTGCGACTCCGATTCCGAGCTGCGGTAGCAGGAGAAGCAGCGGCGGCGACCGCAGGAGCCCGAACCCCCACATGGGTCGCCGCCGCCAGAGCGGGTCCTAGGGTGTGGGAGGGCCTGAGGGAGGACGTTGGGCCGGGTGCCCAACGGTCTGCGGGAGCGACCCGGGCGAGAGCCGACCCCGAGGGCAACGACGGCGTCAGAGGCCGACGTCCGCGCGCAGCGTGCGTAAGGGAAGGAGGGGTGTGCGCGAAATCCGACTCCGGTTCCCGGAGGGGGCGATGAGAAGGGGGCGTGGCCTGAGGCAGGACGTTTGTGATTGGTGGGTTCTGCCGCGGCCGGGAAGTTCGAACGGAAGTCTGGGAAAGAGTCTGAAGAGAGCAAAGGAAGCGGGAATGAACTGAGAACCCCGAGCAAGACGGGCGGCAGTTGTGATACAGGCGCAGCAGGTGCTGCCCGAAGGTCGCTTCTAGTACGGGGTAGAGCGTTTTGAGTATACCATGCTCCCCTTTCGGTAAGCTCAACTTTCAGGTGAGGTTTTTCTAGTCCTTCGAGCCTTAAAAGAGATACAACCCCAAAGATTAGAGTAATTCTGTCCTGTTACAGAAATCTGTGGGAAGTTTTCTGCATGCCCTGGATGAAGGGAATCTCCCTCTTCTCATACTCTCGAGTTTCTTTGTAGGTACACAAAGATTTCTAAGTTCTTGGGAATATATTTAGATAAGAAGTTTAATGCATCTCTGATTGGTAGCAGGGAGCAGGGCACATGGGGGAAAGGCGTTAGTTGTTACATACACATTTGCTGTCGGTGTTTGCAGTCAATGGGATTTGCTATTTTAAGGTTTTCAAAAACCAGCGTGAACAGTAGGAAAGTCATAGGTGTCCAGCAACAATCTGTGACCAGTTGTGTATGAATAAGATTTGGACAAATGTATGCTAAAGACAGGGAAGGGAGGGGAGAGTCCAGTATTCTAAATTTAAGTGCTTGTGAGGCAAGGCACTGTAAAGAACCTTGTGGGAGAGAGAGAATATTAGTGAGAATTTAAAATATTACAGCTAGCATTTATTGAGGCATACTATAGGCCAGGAATTGAACTAGGCACTTCATATATTAACTGATCTGAGTTTATATATGTGTGTGCTTAAGCACACATACTGTTTTCTTACTCCACGTATCAAATATTAATAAATAGCCTTGAAGTAAGAGCACAAATTAGCAAATGATAAAATATATATATTTATATATATAGATATATATATATAAAGTATATATATATACTTAGTGACTTCATGAAGATGTAATGCTAGCCTACTCTAAATTATTGAGTTCCATCTGACATCATAATAGTGTAACCAATCAAAATTGTTTATTATTTTAAGTATATCTATCTACTGCTTTCTAAAAATAAATGGTTAAAAAGAAGCAGAGGCTAATTATATAATAATGAATATATATTAACCATATTTTGGCAACCAGCCTTCATTCTATTTTGTGAATCACATGCACGTTGTTACTGTCTCTTGTTAAGTAGAGGATTACTGAAATGTAATCCAAAAACCCAAACATGTTCATGTACTCCAAATGCAGCTTTTGATTTTTGTGGTCTTGTTTTTAGGTTGACATTTTAACTGAATCTGTCACTATTGATGGGGATGGGGAGTTCTCATGTTTTGGAAAGAAAATTAATTGTAGTAACAATAAATATACAAAAAGTTATTTCAATAGCTCTAAGGTAATTGAAGTCTTTGAGAAATACAAATAAAGATTTAAAGGGCAGAGTAAAGCAACAGACTGAAGTGAGCACAAGGTTTTTTCCCCACAGTCAAGGATTTACACAACCCTACAGGAGCCACTTCTAGAAAAAGTAATAGCTCTCAATTCATCGGTTGAGGTATTATGTCATTTATGGTAAGTCATTAACATTGTAATTCCTTCTGATAGGTCCCAGTGATATTACTGAAGTATCTGTTTTCTTTCTCTGTCCCCTCTTCCTTTTCCCAGGAAGACCAGTTTTGTAAATCACTACTTTTCTATCAACCATGGGCACAGACAGCTCAGCACTTCCTCTCTTTATTCTCCTTAAGAGCTGGGCTTTCCTTTCTCTCTAGAGATCTTACACATACAAAGTTACTGTAACCAGTTGTTTGAGTTTACTCCTTTCTAACAGAGATCTCCACTAAAAACCATTAGAAATAATAAAGTTCAGCAAGGTTGCAGGACACAAGATCAATATACAACACTTAATTGTGTTGCTATACACTAGCAATGAATAATCTAAAATGAAATTAATACAATTCCATTTACAATAGCATCAAAAGGAATAAAATACTTAGGAATAAATTTAATGAAGGAAGAGACTTGTATACTGAAAGCTACAAAACATTGTTGAAAGAATTTAAAGACCTAAATAGCACTGGGTGTTCACTCTGGCCCCTGTTGCTCCAGCACTGAACCCCTCTGAGGCAAAGGTGTCCTTTTTGGGAGGGGGGGAGATCTCATGCTTAGAAGGAGCAGAATCAGCTCAGACCTGGCCCTCAGGGCTTCTGCCCCCATACCTTGGGACCTGATCCTGCCCCTGAGAGGGTGGTGACACCCACTGAGCACAGGAGAAGCCCAACTTACATGTGGCTCTGGTTCTAGCCCCTCTATCTCCAGCCCCTGAAAAAAGGTGACAGCTACCAGCACACCCTAGTGGAAGACTTGACCAGTGCTCACTTCAGATCCAGCTGTCCCACCAAAGCCACTGGGCACACATAGACTGAATAGAGATGTTTCCAAACAAGGACACCCCTTCAAAACTGGGATAGGTAACTGTTTCACCTAATTTCACAGAGACAGAGAAAGTTAAGCAAAATGAGAAGACGGAGGAATTTGTTCCAAACAAAACAACAAGGAAACAAACCGGAAAAAACAACTAATGAAACAGAGATTAGGCTCCTTGAAGGGAGGACTGCCAAAACTCTTGTGGACATATTTTAAAGCAACCACACCCAGGCTCCACTCCAGATCATTAGAATTCAGAGATCAAGCACAAGGGGAATAAAATAAGATATCAAGGAGATTTGGCTAAGTTATTATTTATAAAACACATAAGATGACTCTGAATGGTGGAAAAAAGAAATCAGACAGGCTAGAGACCTTGGGACTCAAGGAATATCAAGGTGGTGAATACCCTAGGTTTTATTTTTGCCTTACATACTGCAGAAGTGATGCTAAAGAATTCAGAAACACCAGTGGACACAGACAAATATGTGTCTTGAAGTCTCAAAAAAGCCTCTCCTAGACACAGCACCAGGAAAAGGGAAGCCTTGAAATATAGAAAACTTTCAGAAAACAAATTCTCTATCCCAGCCAAATATCACAGAAAAAGACTTTGGCTACACCCAACAAGCAAAGGCTGAGTGAGGAGCCTCAACTTCTTATAATGAGGTACCCCAACACCCCTGCCAGGGTAGTGTCAGAGAAGGCCAAGTAGAGAGCCTGGACTTTCATTTCCATTCCTCCCCCACACACCCCCACAGTGCAGTGGATACTACACTGGACTGGAGAGTCAGGACTTTTACCATCGCCCAGCAATAATGAGATCTCCTCTACCACAGTGTCATTATAGACCATGTGGGGAGCCAGAACATCTACATCCAGTAGTAATGAGGAACTGTTCCCTCCCATCCAGTGTCAAAACAGGCCAAGTGGGGAATCTAGACTTCTACCTCCACCTAGTAGTAATAAGGTAGCAACTCTTCTCAGCTGGAGTGGTATCAGAGAAAGTGAGTTAGAACTAAAGTTTTAAATAAGATATAGAATCATAAAACATAATATAAAAAATTCCAGTTTTCATTTGAAAACCACTTGTTATAACAAGAATGAGGTAAGTCTCAAACTGATTGAAAAATGACAACCAACATATACCAAAAGTTAGATGTCAGAGATGTTAGAATAATCTGACAAATATTTTAAAGCAGCAATAAAAAACATGTTGCAACAAGCAATTACAAACACACTTGAAACAAATAGCCTCAAGGAAGAAATTGAAAGTTTCAACAATGAAATGGAAGATATAAAAAAAAAGACATAATGGATGGACTCAAAAGGAGAATGTAGGGAAGAGAGGAAGGAATAAGTGAATCTGAAGATAGAGTAATAGAAGTTACCCAGTCTGAACAACAGAGATAAAACAGACTGGAAAAAAAAAAAAAACTCAGAATGCTAGGGGCTTGTGAGACCATCACAAAACACCTAACATTCATGTCATTAGACTTTTGAAGAAGAGGAGAAAAAGAGTAAGATTGAAAAAGTATTAAATAATGGCTGAAAAGTACCCAGATTTAGCAAGAGACATGACCTATGGATTTAAGATTCTGAGTGAATCCCAAACAGGACAAAGCTAAAGTAATCTATGCCAATACCCATCATAGTTAAACTAAAGACAAAGAAAAAACCTTGGAAGCATCCGAAGAAAACTGACACCTTTCCTATAGGGGGAAAATAACCCAAATGACAGCAAATTTCTCATCAGGAACCATGGAGCTCAGGAGGAAGTAACACAATATTTTTCAAGTGCTGACAAAAAAGGAACTGTCAATCCAGAATCCTATACCTAGTGAAAATATCCTTCAGAAGTGAAGGGGAAATGAAGACATTTTCAGATGAAAGAAAACTAAGAGTATTTTTAACCAGCAGACTTATCCTAAAAGGATAACTGAACGAAATTCTCTAAACAGGAAGGAAACAATAAAAGATAGAACCTTGGAATATCAGGAAGAAAGAAAGAACATGGTGAGCAAAAATATGGGTAAATACAGCAGGCCTTCCTTTTCCTCTTGAGTTTTTTTAAATTATGTTTGACAGTTGAAGCAAAAAATTACAACACTGTCTGATGCTATAATTTTTCTTCTACATACATATATAAATGTATAGAGGAAATATTTAAGACAGTTATACTATAAATGGGGAAGGGCAAAGAGAGGTATGGTATCTATACTCAAACTGGTAAAATGATGACACCAGTAAACTGATAAGTGATGGATATATAAAATAATACTTAGATCCAACTGATTAAGAATCTACAAAAAGGTATACTTACAAAACACTATAGATAAATCAAAATGGAATTCTCAAAATGCTCAAATAACCTATAGGAAGGCAGGAAAAAGGAGACAGCTTGGGGGAGAGGTGGTGCTGGGGAACAGAACAAACAAACCAAAATTTAAAACGGCAGACTAAAACCTAAACATATAAATAATTATATTAAATGTAATTGGTCTGAGTACACTAATTAAAAGGCAGAGATTGGCAGAAGTGATTAAAAAGCACCTCCCAACTCTATGTTGTCTATAAGCAACTAACTTCAAATATAATGATACATCAAATAAAAACTAAAAGGGCAGAAAAAAATATAATATGCAAACATTAAACAAAATAAAACAGTAAAGGGTATCAGGTAAAATTGACTTCAGAACAAAGTAAATTACTATAGATGTGCAAGATGTTACCTTTAGGCGAACCTGAGCAATTGGTACATGGGATCTCT